CATTCAGTAGGAGTCTGATGGACCCAGGCCTAACCCCTGTGTGAGGATATGTGTCCCCTGCCAGGTCCCTGAGCTCTGTAAAGAAACAGCTCCTCCCCCTGAGAAACAATCCCACACAGGACATTGTGAACCCACCTGTGAGTGACACAGAGACACCTGGGAGAGTCTGGCCTTCACACCTGAATGCCTTATTACTGAGCCAGTATGTATCCAAAATTCTCCATTTAGTGAGTTAATAAAATAATCCTTGCCCAGCTCCTTACAAGTGAGACATAAAGAAGCCATAGTAATACTTATTGACTGTGGCTTTCATGTCTTATTGAGTTTGGTAAATGCTCTGGTGGAAGAGGGTATTTACAGCAGCTTCATGGCGAACTCTACTTTAGATGTTTTTATGGGAAGAGGAAGACACAGGACCTCAGAGGGAATTCCTCCCTGCTCCCTCTCCACCTGATCCTGAGAAAGCAGCCCTGACTCATGGGTCTTCCGCGCCCCCTGCTGCCCAGCCTGAGTCCTGCAGGGGAAGGTCCTCTTTCAGTTCAGAGGGCATGGGTATCTCATTGGCACTAGTTGAGAACTGAAGACAGTACCCTGCCTTCAGGGTGCTCCCACAGGGACGCCATGTGCTTTACCATCTCTAGACACATAACTGACCTTGCTAAACGCTGGTGACTCCGCAGGGAACCTCCAAACCAGGGCTCTACGAGCCACCAGGGAGCCCATTTTTGGAGCTTCCTGATGCACTGACTCAGTCAACACTTCTGAGTCTGGAAGTTCTCGGTGCCTTTGGAGGCCTCTGGTGTCCTCAGATTCCTCTGTTTGAAGGTCCCATCTGAGGACCCCTGATGAGGCCCTAATCCCACCATATTTACCAGGCTCCCTGGACCACAGCAGATGAAAATAAAGAGCTATCCCAGACACAGTCTTGCTGCTCCTGAGAGAAAAGGGGTGGCAATTCTCTCCAGTGAAGAATGCCCCAAGCTCTTCTGCAACACAGATTTTATTAAGGTTGGGAAGTGCAGGGGCATACAGCACACATGCACAATTATGAATCAATGTCCAACAGGATATAGTAATGAAAAACCAACAATATCTATAGATAACAGTGAAAGAAACACAGGAATCTTTTCAGGTTGGGGTGTGCCAGACACACAGGTTCCAGATGGCTGTAAAGGTGTATATCATGAAGTAGGGAGTTTCACTCCTCATGCCTTGAACTTAAGCATCTGGGTAAAGTAAAGCAGCAGGGCTTATCACTGAGTAGTGTTGGCTTCAGAGGTCAACCATGTACATTTCAGGCCTGATTCCCATGGGACCCTTAGTGTTAGAATCCAGTTACGCCTGCCACCTGCATTATGACCTGGTTTTCCAGGGAGACTTACCAGCCCTTTCAGAGCTTGCTCTCACAGGGCTACAATCTCCTAAACCACACAGAGTGGTCCCAAACAGTGTTAATTTCCTCAGTCTGCACTTTCTCTGTGAGACCCAGTATGATAAGGTCTCCCGTGAGGCCACATGCACCCTGTCCCGCTGACCTGTGTCCATCCCTCAAGCAATGCCACTCAGTCTTGTTCACTGTGGGTGTTGACATGTGCCCTCTAAAATGTACAAATTCCTCAATGGAATGCAAATATGTGTGATGAGATGGATTTCTGGAGGTCCTTGAAAAGGGCTTCAGCCAGAATCTGCACCATTCTCAGGTCATGACTGTAAATCCCAGGCACACACACCCTGGTCAAAGGTGCTAATCCTCTGTCTTCACTTACCCATGGAAGCACAAGCCAGGTCACAGAACCATGGGAGGCAGAGATGCTGTGGACCTGGGAGTGAGGTCCAGCACATCTCATGGGTCTGTGCTTCACACTCACCCTGCACCACACTGTCATACGCAGTGGTCCCCAGTGCCAGTCTGGAATGACCACTGACCAACAGCACCATGGAAGGGAGTGAAACACACTCCACCCCAGGACACAACTGACCTTGCTCTTGGTTCCCACTCAGGAGAAGCCCCGTGCCAACTCCACATCCAGAACTGAGGTTTGCACCTGCCTGATCTACCCTGGAGAGACAATGCCCCGAGAGAGACAGGAGCCAATGAAATGTGACTTGTGTGAGCAGAAGAGGGCAGAGCTCATCTTCTCTGTGTAACATCTGGGTGACTCTGAAACATGTGGATTAAGAGCACATATTTCAGTTCAACAAGAAGGATTTCCACCCACTTTTATTTTTCTAACCTTTAGACAAGAAAGTTCTATTTTATAAATATTCCTAAACAAAAATACCATTACATAATCTCCCTCTGATCTCTTCTGTGCCCATTAGACTGTACAAGATGTGATAAATATACAGTCCACCCTCTCAATCCAGTATGGACTCTGACATAAAGGTTGACATATGTAGTTCATTGAGACTTGGTTGCTTAGGGAAACCTGTTCCTCAGGCCCCCAGGACCAAGCTTACTGCATCCTATAGGAAAAGAGAAGGCAAGGTGATGTGGGGAGACTTGTCTTGTCCTACCTGCACACTCCTCCATGCCTCCTTCCTCAGCCCTGTGCACAGTGACAGTCTGTGAAGTGGAAATGTTCTGGGGCCACTTGTGATGAGTGTGAGCACAACTCATGATTCCCATACACCAGTCCTCACACATTTATCCTCTCATGTACACACAACATGTGTTTCAACACTTCATTTCAATTCCCTTCAACCAGGACTATGAAGATGGTATGGAGACACAGTCAGTCCAGATGAAGTGGTGCATTTTGCTCACTGTCAGATCCTATGGGAAGAAAACTGTCTCTCTCAACAGGAGAAAATGTAGGTCAACTGTCTGTGTGGTGCTATGTCTGCACTGAATTATTTTCCCAGACATTGAGCAGTGGCACTGGCCACAGGGTCTGTGAGGCACAAAGCAGAGAAAGCATCTGTTCCTTTTAGGACTCACTCACAGCCTCCTTGGATCACAAGAGATGGCTGGACCTGCTCATGGTAAGACATGGGGGCCATCCCCCAAGGGCATGAGTCTGATGGCCAGCTGCTGTCTCTGTTACTGGCAGATGACACAGTGGATTGCGGCACTTGGCTACTCTGTGGGTGTCAAGAGGAAATATGTGGGCTTGAGCCTATCACACCTTGCACAAGCTCCCCATGCAAATTCACCACAGGGCCCCAGGTGGCCACTTCAACAGGGGCACCAGGAAATCCCTTGATGGCTCCTGTGTCCTGGGGGTTTCTTCCAATGGGCTATGGCAGGCCTTACTACATGTGCTCCTTATACAACAGGGTATTCTGTAATCTCAGGCACCATATGGCCATCTTTATAGTAACTAGGTTTCCACTACCATCCTCTTGACCTATGGCCAGGGCACTGGGTAAGACCCATGTGTTCCTCACACCCAGGCACGGTGACTGTTCATGCCAATCAGGGAAAACAGCATGTGATCCAGCTGACTGAGCTGATTTGCTCTTACCTTGTGTCCCAGTACATTCCATCACTTACAGTGTTGTGGCCTTCCACACAAGAGCCTTTCCATCCATTTAAACATGTCACCTGTAAAACAAGCAGCAGCTTTTATAGATTTATTTATTTATTTATTTATTTATTTGTGTATGTACATATATATGCATACATGTATGTATGCATGACACATGTATGCATTTTTAAGGAGAGGGGGAGGGAAGGAGAAAGAGATGGACAGAAATGTCAATGTGTGGTTGCTTCTCACATGTCCCTCACCAGGGATCTTGCCTGCAAGCCAGACATGTGTCCTGACTGGGGATCGAGATAGTAACCCTTTGGTTTTCAGGCTGATGTTCAATCCACCAAGCCAAATCAGCCAGGGCAAACAAGCAGCATTGTGATGATCATTTGGGAGATGTGCAAGAACCAGTAGCCATGTGACAACAGGAAGCAACAGAGTCCCGTGTTCTCCAGGGTCAGTCATGGAGGAAGAGATCTCCCAGATCAAGAACATGAAAAAGCTGCCCCTTGCACTCATCACGTGGTATGCCCCAGTGCAAATCATTCCCATTTTAATACAGAGCCACTGTAGTGACAGATGTCCTTGAGTAAGTGCTTGCCTTTCTGCCCAGGACTGGGTGAATGTTTTAGGTTCCAAATTACTTTATGTTCTTCAGTCATAAGGAACTGTTCATGCTTGCTAGTATTCTCTACAGGGCATTCCTGCACCCCCGCATTGGGGAGTTTCTCTTCTAAAATCAAGCACTTTCTAAGAGTGGACTCATGCACCATCTTCACACAGTCCAATCTACATAAGGCAAAGTGTAGATACATACTCAGTAATGTCCGAATGTGGACATTAGTGGCCAAACACACTGATAAAGACATCAGAGATGAGAATTCAGACACCACTGGTCATTACTCAGGCTTCTTTTTAAAGGTGGTCTTCTCTGGGGTTAGTCATGAAGGAGCTGTGTTGATGTTTCACCTCTCAGCTCTTTGTCCTCCAAATCCAGCAGCCTGAATGGTACTGACTTCTCACTTAGTTCCAGGGACAGACATGAGCATCTATTTTGTTTTCAGTCTCAGTGGATTGTGACAGGCAGCTCCTAACTGTGATCACTGAGAAAGTGCCATTTCCACAGGACCTTGGGCCTGTACTGGATTTATGAAACATGTATCAGTTATGTGGGCTCCCATGTCATGTAAGTCACTGCATGTTTATCCTGTATGCTGATCTTGCCATTATCATGTATTATCACACTTGGGACCTGCATCAAGCAAGCATCCTTATAGCAAATTTTCACCCTAATATATTGAATCAACTAAGTCTCTTTTTCATTTCAATAAAGGAATTCACAAACTTCCTCACATGAAAGTAAATTGCCACTGATGATTGTCCAAGATCAAAATGTAGAAAAATCATTTTCAAGATCACTCACTGTGTGTCTTGGGTGCCCCCTGGTGTCAGGAGCACACCCTGCATCTCAGCCCTTCTTTCTCCCAAGGGAAGGTTTTTATCTGTGCTCACAGTGACTTCCTCTCACTGTGCATCTCTTGCACAGTAATAAACGGCTGTGTCCTCAGTTTTCAGGCTGTTCATTTGCAGGTATAGCATGCTTTTGCCATTGTCTCTTGAGGTGGTGAATCGACCCTTCACAGAGTTGGCGTAGTATGCATTGCCACCATTATAACTAATGAGTGAGACCCACTCCAGCCCCTTCCCTGGAGGCTGACGGACCCAGTGCATGTTGTAGCTACTAAAGGTGAATCCAGAAGCTACACAGGAGAGTCTCAGAGACCCCCCAGGCTGCACTAAGCCTCCCCCAGACTCCACCAGCTGCACATCACACTGGACACCTGCAAACACAAAGTAACCCCTGTCAGGTAACTGTCACATTCTCATCCTTCCACTCAATCATATCATCACACATACCCAGTGTATGCCATTCTCCATAATTTGCCTCTTAAAACTGCAACTAGGAAAACCCAGCTGAGCCCAAACTCCATGGTGAGTGGCCTGTGTCTTGTCCTGAGAAGAAGGGGCTGGGGACACCTGGGATTCCTGTGCTGGGCTCCTGTCCCAGAGCTCAGGGTTAGGGCTGGGCTGCTTTTCATGAGAAGAGCATCCCTATTTACATGTCCTCCTGCTATATAGGGGGTTCTGGGTTACAAAAGTGACATGAAGGACAATGCCCCAGTGTGTGAGTTGTCTCAGGTCATCTGTCTGCTGGGAATTATTCCCCAGCCTTGGAAATTTGGTTCAGTTTGCTGGAAAGTTGACTTGTTACCAAGAGGTTGAGGGTCTGATCCCAGGTCTGGGCACATTTGATCCTGGTCAGGATGGCGACAGGAAGTACCAATCTCTCTCTCCCTCTCTCTCTCTCTTCCTTTTTCCTCTATTTTTTTCTAAATGAAATGAAAACATATGTCTACTGTTGGAGATAAAATTAATAACATAAGAAATAAAATAGTCCGTACATTTGGACCTGTACCCTCCCCACTGAGCTAATTGCTCCAGGAGACAGGTATGTGACCTATAAGAGTAAAGTGTCATGAATGGAGAGGGATGTAAAATGAGAGATGCCTTTGAGAGTCACCAGCAATGAACACACAAAGAGAATTCCACCCTCACAAACATAGGGAGAAGTAAAAGTACAGGAGTTTTGTGTTCAGGAGACGGGAAATTCCATCAGTTACCATTTCCTCTACAAATCAAGCAGAGTATGAAGTAGAACAGGTTGTGACCCTAGAGTTTGTGGACCTTGTGTTGAAGGGGAGTGTGTGTTTGTGTGTGTGTGTGTGGGTGTGTGTGTAGACTGGGAGACAGAAGTGTGAACTTTACTGCAAAGCAGATTGTGCTCCTGGGTCATGTCCCTTCATTGAATATGCAGCAGTCTTACTGAGTCATATTTTGTTTTTATTGTCTAAACTCTGTGGTAAAATGGTTCTAACATTAGGGACACTGAGGAAACTCGGTCATGAGTAGATCTTCTTAGGTACAAATGGAGGTAGACATTGTGAAGTAAGTATGATAAAGTTATAGGCATTTCATTATGAAAAACTTGATGCCAATCACATATATAAAATAAGAGAAAATAAATAAAAATAATTGATATGAAAAACACCATTTTCCCTACATTGATTACAGAGGGAATAAATCATTTAAACAGCCTTCCCTTTCTGGAGCAGGTAGATCAAATTTTCTATAAAACTGGTCAGCTGTCGGAATTCAGCCATATTTTCACCATCAGGATCTGTGGCTGTGAAGCCATGTGATGTATTTCTAATCACAAATACAAGACATAGGTTCTTCCCTGGTTCATCACAAGTAAAATTCAGAAGGTTTGTCTCCTCTTTCATTTGTTTTTTGTCTGTACATGAACCTCAAAATTACTGTCACATCATCGACACCCACTGGGTGTCACCTGGGCATGAAGTCCCATGTGCATGGATTAGGGTGCAGAACTGGGAAGAGACAATCCCAGGTACATGGATGGTGGGATTCAGCAAGCCTGGCACCAACACTCCCAGGGTTCTTGTTCTTTATGTGGTCATTTTCATCCTCATGTAGCAAGTTCAAGTTGTGTTGCATTACTTTCCTTAGAAATACTCTTACATAGTCATCTAGTTATTAGTATATCGAGGTGTCCAAAAAGTTCATTTGGTTGTTCAGTACCATGGCTCTAGTAGATGTGGTTTGCCTTAACTTCATTTGAAACAATTTTGTTAGAATGTGTGATTTTCAGAAACAACTATAAAGGACACATGGACAAATCCAAGGTGGGATGGAAGCAAGGGAGGGAGGTGGGGATTGCTGGAGTTGAGGAAAGTGATGGGGAGAAATGCATACAATTCTAATTGAACAATAAAGTAATTTAAAACAAAATAAAAAAGAATGTGTTGTGGCAGCTTTTATATCAGAGTGCATTTAAAAAATTCATCAAATTGGTGATTTTTGTGTAGCCATTTTATATTGATAATAGAATAAAATATACCTTTTTTAGCATATTAAGCTTTATTATTTCAAGAAAGATAAAAATGCAACAAATGTGGGAAAAAGTATTTATGCAGTGAATGGATATGTTGTGATTGATAAAATATCTCAAACATCATGTAAGAAGTTTTGTGGTGGAGATTTCTTACTGTTGCTCCATGTTGAGGTAGACAAGATCAAGATGATAGGGATCAAATCAATACAATAGTTTAGAACGATCAACGTTATACCACACAGGAGATAGCTGAAATACTAAAAGGACACAAGTCAATAAAGTTACTGATATGACTTTCATTTTATAGAAAATGTGTCTTTAATTTTCCAGAAAAAAAAACAAAATTAATGCAATTTTTGGCTAACCCAGTGATTTGAAAAAAATTATATTGTCTTTAAGCTATTTAAAAAAAAGAAAAGTAAATGAAAGAAACAAAGAAATCTTACCATTTGGGATAAAGTGGAAGGACCTAGGGGGTGTTATGCTTAGTGAAGTAAGTTAGGCAGAGAAACACAAATACCATATAATCTCTCTTATATGTGGAATCTAAAGAACAAAATAAAGAAACAAATAGAATTAGAATCAGACCCTTAGAACAAGAGAACAGACTGGTGGTCTCCAGATCGGTGGAGTTTGGAAGCCTGGATGAAAAAGGTGAAGTGATCAAGAAATACAAACTGGTGATTAGAAATGAAATACTGGGGTGTAAACTATACACAATCAGTAACATCAATAATGTCTTAATAACTCTACATGGGGACAGGTGGGTCCTGGATATATTGGGTCATTGAATCACAAAGTATTCAAATGTCTGAAGATTCTGCTGTAGTCTAGTAGCTCATTTAAAATAGTATATAGAATGTCAACTGGAATTGAAAGAGAAAGATCCAATTTTGCTATATTCCATGGAGGCTAAGATAATGTTGTTGGGCAGAATCCCACAGGCAGGAGAGATGGCTGAATTACAGGGTTTTACTTAGAAGCTTCATCTTTAGTGTAAAAGTTCAGAACATCTTGCAGGTTTATTAAAGACACCTACCGAGCACTTGGCCTAGTATTATTTGCTGGTGGTTTCTACTTCAGTAACAAACTAGAGGCTACTAACCAGTTCCTATTGTAATAACCTGACTTGCTGAAGGGCCTTTCCTTTTCCACGCAGTGATTTCAACCCCATGCAAGACCAATGCCCCACGTCCCTTTGGGGAGTGTGTCATCAGCCTGGACATCCACACGGGGCTGTGTGGGTCCCTCTGCCTCTGTGTGGTGTCACCTACACATGGTGCTCGGAGCATGATGCCTAGTCAATGGCCATCATCACTGGGGACTATGACCTCATGAGTTGGTTTCATGCACCTCTGGTGCCCACTGTTCAGCAAGCACTTGTCCTGCAGCTGGCAGCTTGGATGGTGAGCGCTGTGTGCTGGGCCGATCTGTGAGTGCAGCAGAGCCTCTGGTTAGATTCAGTCAACGTGGTTCAGACATTTGATGATTCATTGAATCTGGGCACAAGAGTGAAAGAGAATCTGCCTTTTGTCCATGGGAGAAAATCTTCTTCCTTTACAACCAACTTGTGTAACTCAGAGACTTCAGAGGAGCACAGAATCAGGAATCCACAGAGTTTTCCTGAGGGAAACTGTTACTGGAAGAGAAGAAACCAGAAAAGAAACCTCCAAAATGCCCTACTACACCTGCTCCTTCCCTAGTCCTTGTGTTCAGGGACCCTTGAGCGCCCCCTGGTGGTCAGAGCTTGGGTTGTTTCCAAGAGGCCACATCTGCTCATAGGAGCATCTGGGCCTGTGCCCTCTCCACTGGCCCTAACTCCTCCCCTGAAGCTAAACTAGGGCAGAGTGGGGCATGCCTAGTGTGCTTGTAGTACACTGTTTCTGTAATGAGAACACAAGTGGTGTCTGTATCTAGTGTTACCTATCTTCCAGGGCTGTATACACCTGTGGACTCAGAGTTCTCAGTACAATGGAGAAGGGTGTGCACCACCTGTAACATGTCTGTAGATCAGCTGAAGTGAGTCAGGTTCAACCTGAAGGGTCACAGACACCTGTAGCTAAAAATTTTGTTAGGCCCAGGACAATTATCGTGGATCCACACAGTCCCTGTTCTGTGCTTTTTGTTATCAGTGACATTTGTCTCTTTCCCATGGCTGCAGGGGCTAACCTGACTGGGGAGCCCAGGTCTGCTCCCACGTAATACAAACACTGAGCCCAGAACTTGCCCATCTGGCTCCAGGATGGAAGCCCACCTCGGAGACTCAGTCCAAGAACCTAGCTCGTGTGGCTTGCTGGCACCTCCGCATCACCTAACCTAGCTGAAGGGGATAAAAAATAATAGACCCACTTTGTACTCTGATCTCACCAGCCCCTCCCAAACTCCAGAGGACCAAATGACCCCCTCAACCCTATGCTGTCTAACAGAGATGGTGGGGCCAAATGTCCACTCAAAGCAGTACCCCTTGGCCTTGGAGGACTGTTGAACTAGCACAGGGAAGGCATAGTAATTAAGTAGGCGGGAATGAGGTGCTGCCCATGCACACCAGGTGGACAACACCAGGCCTCTTTCTCAAGCCCCACAGTTGAGACTCCCAGAGATTATCTGCCCATAGGTCATCCAGAGAATAGAGGGCCCCCCAAAGTCACTACTGGGTGTACCAAGGAGAAGCTTTCTACATCCTGGAATATTTGCATTGCTCTTTCTGCTGTCACAGATCCTAGTGTTCTAACAGAGGTGGCATTCCCTCCCTGGGATGCTGCATTCAGAGTCTCCCAGGTGGACCTAATCACCACAAATTCCCATCACCAGATGCTACGTGAGCTTCCATTCCCATCTCTGTTGCTATGGATTGGGGACCCCTATATGGGCTGAGACCTCATGTTCCCAGGGGGAGGGAGCTCCCTGCTGAAATATCCATCGGACTTCCCAGTCACTGCACCTGTGGGATGGGGCTCACTCTCTCCTTCGCTCCTCCCATCTACTTCCCTCTTCCTGTTTATAAAGTTTCAGACCAGCTGCTCTTCAACTGGTTTTTCCCATTGGTTGTTTTGTTCCAAGAAGTGGATGGAGCTTCAAGCTTTATTCTTG